TATTGGTTCACCATGCACAACACAGTGAAGCCATAAAAAGGGCAGGAAGCTTACCAAACATCAAACAACCCTTCACAAGGATGTGCTTGTGATAAAACACTACAGCCCCCCCCCAGAACCTCGAGAGGCTGGGGAGCGGGACACAGAGTTCATCACAGAGTTGAAACAATGTAGAGATGGTAAGCAAAAAAATGACAACATTTAACACTTTAACAGCAGGTTTCGTTACTCTCGGACTAAAATTCACTGAACCAACAGCAAAAGAAGATCAAACTACGCTTCACGTTTGAAAACCATCATCATGAATTCTCTCTTACTGTTTTGCTTCCACTACAATGAAATCACACTTCCTGCACAGCTCTCTCTGTACTTCAAGACTAGTTTACCATCATAAATCTGTTTTCTGCATTCTGCACCAGTCTACTGTTGTGTGTAGTGTTGTCGCCCACTGTTTTTTTTTTTTAAATGACCTTTGACAAGAAAGTCTCATTTCTGCTGTTCAATACCAAAAAAATTTAAACTTTTGCAAATGATGCCAAGTTGCAAATCTCTTAGCTGTGTCTCCAATCAAACCTCTGTAACTTTGCGCTGCTTCACTTCAGCAACATCAGGTGATGTTCAAATGTTGGTTCATGCTTTTCTTCAGTTTTTGTTCTACTGCAGAATATTTTTAAGGTTATCTGCTAAAAAAGCCAGGCCAGGAAAGTCGCCTTCATGTTTCTCTCCCATCCAAGTACTAACCAAGCCCAACGCTGCTTAGCTTCTGAGATCACAGCCATAGCACCCTGAGATCGCCCGATCTCGTCTGATCTCAGCATGCCTTCATGTTTTCTTTGTTTTATCCTCAGTTACTTTCACACAAAGGCATCCGCTGTGGGTGGGTGGCTGGCCTCTCCCTTAGAGATAGGGGGAGAAGTTCAGCCATTCGGGAGGGGCTCAGAGTAGAGCCGCTGCTGCTCCACATCGAAAGGAGCCAGCTGAGGTGGTTCGGGCATCTGACAAGGATGCCTCCTGGGCGCCTCCTGGGTGAGGTGTTCCAGGCATGTCCCAC